CTCAGGTAGCTTCTTTCTTGCTCCTGCTTATCCTCAACCACAACTTGAGCGTTTAGCTTAGCAGGAAAGAGTAGGTGACGATCGAGGCAGATGAGTGAAGGTGATGGTGTCTGCCCCAGGGGCCTCTGATATTGTGAGGGAGGAATTGCTCCTCTGGCTTCTGGGCAGGTTTATTCAAGTTAGCATAAGTTGCGGCACAACGTGTCCTACCCTAAACACTTTACTTACTTTTCTTTGAGACATAGTGTAGGATTTTTTCCAAAATGAAATAATGTAGCGATGAATTTTGTTCTTATGATTATGCTGCTATCAGCTGTCTGTAACTGCACTGAATTTCTTCCATTGTCTTTGGAGAATACATTGACATGACACAGGATTGTATTGGGGCCACAGTGATTGTACATGATTCAGTGCAGGTGATCCACATATGCTGGGCAACTAGGATTTGTCAGAGGCAATGGAAAAATTTGCTTCTTAAAAATAGTTTTGGCATCTTGTGAACTTTATAGTACTATAACAACCCATAGTTCTGTTTCCTGGAGACACTGAGAATGTAAGTCATCCCGTAGCAAAGTCCAAAAGAGATCTCATTATTTTTTTTTAGATAGTTGTTCTTATGAGAAAATGCAGACCATTTTTTTTGTCTTTATACTCAGAGTTTCTTAAGAAACATGGTTAGTTCTCTAATATTTGAATTTGCCATTGTTGGTATCATTTAAACAAACATACCTATGCTTGTAGAGGTTTGATGACACTCAAAAACTGTATGTTGTCCTTCAAAGTAATGATTGACAAACAGTTTAGTTTCAGATCTAAATATTTAGTGATACATAGCTTTCAGAATCTCATCAGAGACAGCCGTCAACAAAGTTTTACTAGAAATAAGTTTACTCAGATTTTAGAAGGTGCACAATTTTTGTTCAGACATCTGCTTTAATTTCTTCCTTCTGAAAGTTGCAGAATGTGCAGATTTGATTGTGTAATGGAGAGAATTTGAATGTATTAGTGGAAGATTCATGTACTTTATTGCAGATACAAAACAAGCCCCTATTTTTTAGTTATTTATGATGTAAATGTTTTTTACTTTGTTTTTCTTCAGTTCTATTTCTGTATGTATAGAACCTAAAAAAACCTAAAAATAGTTTTTTGAAAGTCTGGATTCTATAGTTATATAATTACTTGCTAAAAAAGTTTCCTTGGGGTCATTTTCAGATTATGGATCATTCACTAGGACTATTTGTTATTTGTATTCTGTTACTAGGCTCCTAAGAGGTATAATTTCTGCTGTGTGAGTAAACCATTGTAACACTGTGTAGGAGAAGAGCAAACAGCAAATGTCACACACTTGGTAAAGATCTGTGACAGAGAAGAATAATTGATTGAGTTAAATTCATTAAGCCTTCTGTCTTTGTGAAAGTTTTTATAAGCACTGAATGACTGCTTAGGTAGTCACAAATAAAGTGACATTGAGAATCATAGCTAATTCTTTTTACTTATTCTTTGTTAAACTCACTTCTGTAGTTACTGAGCCACAGTTCTGTACATCACTATTCCTCCACTTTTCTTTCCCCTGTTGTGACTTACCAGCCATTGATTCTCAGTAATGTCAGTATTAAGAAGGGTATGATATTCGACTATGTTTGTTAGATTACTACTTGTAAGTAGTAGTGTCATCTTGTGCAGCTGTGCAAGATGCATACATTTTCGGGACCGTGACACAATATCAGAAAAACCAAATGTGGTACAGATACACTAAAATACAAATGTTATCCCTTTTCAGTCATCTGTTCTGTAATATAAAGGATGAATTGATCTTACTTTTGTGAGTTTCTGTAAAAGCTAATGTAGAGTTGCACTGGTTTTTTTTGGTATTTTTATGGTTACCCTTTACTCAGATTGCCTGGATATAGACATGCACTGTGAGTTGTTACATGATACAAGAAAAGATAGATGGCACAAAAGAGATATCCGATATATGATATCTCATATAATAGATGAATTGTTTCATTCCCGTATTATAGTGCCAGAACAGATTTTTTTTTTATTTTATTTTGCAATTCTCTTTTCACATTTTGGTAAAATGAGTTATATAATAAAGGCATGGAATCCATTTATATGAACAAGAGAAAATCCTTTTATCTGCTTATCTGTCCTGTGCCCTCAAACTCAATGTTGTGCCTGTACCCACTCACTTGAATACTCAGGTGTTTTCAAGTGTCTAGGCCATCAGTCATGCAAAGAAAGTAAGTATTTCCACTTACGAGTAGGTAAGCTTACTTAGTGACTAGTGCTCCTTGCGATTAAAGATTTCATGAAACTGAGTAAACAAAACCAAATTAAAAGTAGAGAATTATGGAATGCTACATATTTTATGCACAACTCCTGAAACTGTTAAATGAGGATAAATTATTTGACAGAATGATCCAAAAGTAGACAGAAGATTTGATGGAAATTTTATATGCTGATTATCTGTTCTGAGTTAATGCTTATTAAAAGAGGATTAATCTATATTCATATTTGAGGAACAGCTTATCAGAAAAGGGAATGAGACTTGGCTGGCAACATTAAAGTTTTCATTTACAGTGCGAAAATGTGGCCTACTAGAGATAGGCATACAGAAAGCTTTCTAAAGCTTCCTTCCCCAGAACGTCAACTTACTACACATTTGTATTTTTCCAATTCTAGCAGGCATGAAGATTAAGTTTAACCTTGTCAGAAAATATTAGTAAATGGTTTGGGTACCTCCTTGTATATTTAATAAAAAGCGTGTGAAAAGCTCCTTAACATATGCTGTTCTTCATACAAGTATATACAATATAATTTCCTTAAATATTTGTGCATTTAAAATGCACTTTGGATTATATTTCTGCATTTTTACCGTCCTTGATGTATAAGCTGGTGGGGATTCCTTCAAAATCTCTCTATGCAAAGGTTATTTTTTCATCTTCTTTTGAAAACCAATCTCATCCCTGCAGGTCTTCAGCCTTTCTAAGAACATATATCAGATGCAAAGAGTGCTGAAAGAGCTTTTTTGCTTCCTCAGTGATAAAAAGCGAGGGAGATGGGTGGGTCAGTGATAGGGGCATCCTTCCCTTCGTCCTCTTATATTGCCCCTTGAAATTGCTCTGCTTCTTTTTGAAGTGGAGACAGGATGAATAAAGCCAGCTGTCTGTGTGTTTTATTTTTACAGTGACATCTACAAGCCTGCATTGCATTAAGTATGCTTCTATTCAGGCGTTTAGACTTGGTTTGTAATTGCAGAAATCATACTGCAGGCAAAAACGCTGACAAAATGTACAGCAGGAAAAAACATGGTGCTTTTTTTGGCAGCCTAACCGTATCTTCTGTTGTTAGCTGTCTTTCCTTTCACAATATTGATGCTAAAAGAAAGGCACCTTCTCTATCCAGCCTCAGATAGCCCATTTATGGATGGCATCAGGAATAGGTTGGTTTTTTTCTGTAGCATCCTGATGACGTGCCCACACTTCAAGGGGAATTTTGGCTAGCTTATTTGACATTCTGGAGCCTGTTCTACCAAGAATAGTAACTAAAATACTTTCTTGTGTGTTTTTCTCGTGAAGATTATAACCATCCGTGCATTGGTGTACAGGCTGGAGGGTAAATGAACCTGTAGTCCTTCCCAGTTGCATACACATCACGTAAGCCAGGCACAGTCTTCCCCAGGAAAAAAAAAAGTCACTGCAAAACAAGTTCTCATTTTTGATAAACTAAGGGGAACATTTCTTCTGGAAAG